TTTCAGCTGCTGTAGAGAAGAGCCATACAGGGGATCGGTTCCAGTAATTGCCCCCCTGCAGCATCCATCACCCTCCCTGTGCACCTTACCTTTCTCCCTGCGGCCCAGGCCTCCCCCCTGTGTGCCCCCCACCCCCGCTGTGCTGCCGGCTTCCCTCCTCTCCCCCTGGCTTTCAGCTGCTGTAGAGACGAGCCATACACAGGATCAGATCCAGTAATTGCCCCCCCCCCCCCCGCAGCATCCATCACCCTCGCTGTGCACCTTACCTTTCTCCCTGCTGCCCAGGCCCCCCCCTGTGTGCCCCCCACCCCCGCGGTGCTGCTGGCTTCCCTCCTCTCCTTCCTGCTGGCTTTCAGCTGCTGCAGAGAGAGCCATACAGGGGATCAGTTCCAGTAATTGCCCCCCAACGCTCCCATCACCCTCCCTGTGCACCGTATGTTTCTCCCTGCTGCCCAGGCCCCCCGTGTGCCCCCACCTCCGCGGTGCTGCCGGCTTCCCTCCTCTTCTTCCCACCACCGCCAGCTGCAAGCACACAATTGGTTCCTTCAGCCTGGAAAGTGGGGGAAGGGTCCGGGAAATATGTCACATTTACCAGCCCTTCTTTCCCTGAATGAACACAATGAGTGATCGGTACTGATCACTTCCTGTGTTCATTCATAACAGAAGCATAGAAAACGTTTTTTTGGGGGGGGCAGGGTCCTATCAGGTTGGTTGTATGGGGCCCCATGGTTACTAACAACAGCCCTGCACCTGTAACAATCAGTACTTTTCTGCTAGGAAATGTCTTCGGACCCCCGAAGATGATATATTTATTATGGGGCCCTGGAGAATAACATGGCGGGTGTTGCAGGTTTTTATGTCGCACGGTAGTTGCAGTTTAGCAGTTTTTTTCAAACACAGAACGCACTTTCCTGAGCGCCCCCGGCGATCTCCGTTATCGCTGTGTCCTATGGACAGATCTGATCACATGATGTGGTAAAAGGCCAATCACAGCGGCCTCCTACCATGTGATCAGCCGTGTCCAATGACAGCAGATCACCAGGTAAATGCAGTTGCTGGTTATCGGCTGCACTTTCCTCGCACTGTCACAGCATGAGGAGAGGACTGATCATCAGTGCCCATCTGTGTCACCCATCTGTGCCGCCCACAAGTGCCCAGCAGTGCCACCTACCCGTGCCCATCAGTGCCTAGAAGTGCCACCCATTTGTGCCCACCAGTGCTGCCAACCTGTACCCAGCAGTGCCTAGTAGTACCACCCACCTGTGCCCAGCAGTGCCTAGTAGTGCCACCCACCCGTGCCCGCCAGTGCTGCCCACCTATGCTGCCCACAAGTGCCTAGTAGTGCCACCTACCTGTGCTAGTAGTGCCAACCACCAGTGCTGCCCCCACAAGTGCCCAGCAGTGCCACCTACCTGTGATCATCAGTGCCTAGTAGTGCCACCCACCTGTGCCCAGGAGTGCCTATATTGCCATCCACCTATGCCTAGCAGTGCCACCCACCTGTACCCAGCAGTGCCACCTACCTGTGCCTAGCAGTGCCACCCACCTGTGCCCAGCAGTGCCTAGTAGTGCCACCTACCTGTGCCTAGCAGTGCCACCCACCTGTGCCCATCAGTGCCTAGCAGTGCCACCTACCTGTGCCTAGCAGTGCCACCCACCTGTGCCCAGCAGTGCCTAGTAGTGCCACCTACCTGTGCCTAGCAGTGCCACCCACCTGTGCCCATCAGTGCCTAGCAGTGCCACCTACCTGTGCCCAGCAGTGCCCAGCAGTGCCACCTACCTGTGCCCAGCAGTGCCCCCCATCAGTGCTGCCCAGCAGTGCCACCAGTCAGTGCCCAGCAGTGGCAGCAGTAAGTGAGCAGTCACAGCGCAGGGCTGAGACAGACCATTTCTGTGTTCACATGGTGGGCCCCGGACCCTTAGAATGTTCCTTTTCAGCAGAACCCGATTGGTCAGACTTCCCGATGATTTCGGTGACATTGTCCTTGTATGAACTATCACAGCTCGGCGCTCCATTATTTCATACAAAATCTTTCCTTTTATGTAGTAAATGTGGGCAGCTACTCCCACCTGATCCCGTCATGGTCCCCCTCCCCACGGACTGTATGCCTTTCATTAGTGGTCATGTGACTTGTGTCTCCTCAGGGTCACTCTAAAGGTCCGTACCTTGTGAGCGTTCCGTTATCCACCGTCATCAACTGGGAGCGAGAATTCCGAATGTGGGCGCCGGAGTTCTATGTGGTGACATATACTGGCGATAAGGACAGCAGAGCGATCATTCGGGAACACGAATTCTCCTTCAAGGCCATCAGAGGAGGGAAGAGAGTGTCCAGGATGAAGGTAAGGACGCTGTGTGCCCAGAATGACGCCTTTATACGGCGCTGTGAAAAAGTATTTGCTCCCCTCCTTCACGCCAAAAGGTCTAAAAAAAAGCAAACCGTCGTGCCGTGATCTAGAGCGGTTCAAGAACAGGTGAGGAACATTGCCGTGTATCGGTCTGGAAAGGGTTACAAAGCCATTTCTAAGGCGTTGGGTCTCCAGCCAACCACGATGAGAGAAAACTTGGAGCTGTGGTGACCCTTCCCAGGACCGGCCGACCAAGATTACTCCAAGAGCCCAACAAGGACTCATCCAGGAGGTCATTGTCAGGGCTCCCAGGTATGACCAGAGGTGTGTGACTGATGCAGGGAAACGTACAAACATAAATGCAGTGCAATACTAAACATAATACAGTGCAAACAAACCAACCAACCACAGATAACAGTATATACAAGCAAGCGTCGTCAGGCAGGCCGGGTCAATATCAATGGGCAGTAGGTACAGGGGGAGCAAGCAGAGAATGGTTGGGGTCACAGGCCAGGTTCAGCAGTAGCAAGCAGCGTAGTACAGAGGGTCAGACAGAGGGATGGTCAGGGTCACAAGCCAGGATCAGAGCAGGAGAAGTCAGCAAAGGAGAACAGAAACAGGATGCAGGACAGATACAGGGCCCAGGACAAACACAACACCAAGGCAGAGTCTGTGGGTCTGGCCATCCCTTAAATACACCAGTATCATCTGTTCCAGGTGTTAGCTGGCTGAAAGGTTGAGTCTCTGATTGCTGGGGAGCACCCGCTGGCCAGCCCTGGTACTGCAGATCAAAAGGCAGGTGAGAGTCCCACCATTGCTGGCCAGTCCATTCCTAACAGTACCCCCCCCCCCAAGGAGCGGCCTCAGGACGCTCCAAACAGTCCTAGCTGGGCAAAATGTTCCACCGCCCGGGTCTGGTAACTGGCGGGATATCAAAGACTGGCACAACACCGGGCAGGACTCCGGGCAGCGGCACACCGGGCTGGACTCCGGCAGAGGCACACCGGGCTGGACTCCGGGCAGAGGCACACCGGGCAGAGGCACATCGGGCAGAGGCACATCGGGCAGGACTCCGGGCAGAGGCACATCGAGCAGAGGCACACCGGGCAGAGGCACATCGAGCAGAGGCACACCAGGCAGAGGCACATCGGGCAGGACTCCGGGCAGAGGCACATCGGGCAGGACTCCGGGCAGAGGCACATCGGGCAGGACTCCGGCAGAGGCACATCGGGCAGGACTCCGGGCAGAGGCACATCGGGCAGGACTCCGGGCAGAGGCACATCGGGCAGGACTCCGGGCAGAGGCACATCGGGCAGAGGCACATCGAGCAGAGGCACACCAGGCAGAGGCACATCAGGCAGAGGCACATCGGGCAGGACTCCGGGCAGAGGCACATCGGGCAGCACTCCGGGCAGAGGCACATCGGGCAGGACTCCGGGCAGAGGCACATCGGGCAGGACTCCGGGCAGAGGCACATCGGTTTACCAGGCGAAGCAGCAGGCAGCGGGCCACCAGGCGGAGCAGCAGGCACCGGGCCCCGGGCGGAGCAGCAGGCACCGGGCCCCCGGGGCGGAGCAGCAGGCACCGGCCCCCGGGCGGAGCAGCAGGCACCGGCCCCCGGGCGGGGCGACATGCATCGGCCCCCGGGCGGGGCGACATGCATCAGGCCCCCGGGCGGGGCGACATGCATCGGGCCCCCGGGCGGAGCAGCAGGCACCGGGCCCCCGGGCGGAGCAGCAAGCACCGGCCCCCGGGCGGAGCAGGAGGCACCGGGCCCCCGGGCGGAGCAGCAGGCACCGGGCCCCCGGGCGGAGCAGCAGGCACCGGGCCCCCGGGCGGGCGACATGCATCGGGCCCCCGGGCGGAGCGGCAGGCACCCGGGCCCCCGGGCGGAGCGGCAGGCACCGGGCCCCCGGGCGGAGCGGCAGGCATCGTGCCCCCAGGCGGGGCGACAGGCATCGTGCCCCCCCCAGGCGGGCACAGGCATCGTGCCCCCAGGCGGGGCGACAGGGATCGTGCCCCAGGCGGGGCGACAGGGGGGGGGGATCGTGCCCCCAGGCGGGGCGACGGGCATCGTGCCCCCAGGCGGGGCGGCGGGCGCCGGACCCCCCAGGCGGAGCACAGGTCTCGGGCCCTCAGGCGGAGAGGCGGGCGCCGGACCCCCAGATGGAGCGACAGGTCTCGGGCCCTCAGGCGGAGCGGCGGGCGCCGGACCCCCAGGCGGAGCGACAGGTCTCGGGCCCTCAGCGGAGCGGCGGGCGCCGGACCCCCAGAGGAGCGACAGGTCATCTCCTCTCGGCCCTCAGGCGGAGCGGCGGGGCCGCCGACCCCCAGATGGAGCGACAGGTCTCGGGCCCTCAGGCGGAGCGGCGGGCGCCGGACCCCCAGATGGAGCGACAGGTCTCTCGGGCCCTCAGGCGGAGCGGCGGGGCGCCGGACCCCCAGGGAAGGAATAACGGAGCGACAGGTCTCGGGCCCTCAGGCGGAGCGGCGGGCGCCGGACCCCCAGGAGGAGCGTCAGGTTTTTCGGGCCCTCAGGCGGAGCGGCGGGCGCCGGACCCCCAGGCGGAGCGACAGGTCTCGGACCCTCAGGCGGAGCGGCGGGCGCCGGACCCCCAGATGGAGCGACAGGTCTCGGGCCCTCAAGCGGAGCGGCGGGCGCCGGACCCCCCAGGCGGAGCGGAGAAGCGACAGGTCTCGGACCCTCAGGCGGAGTGGCGGGTGCCGGACCCCCAGGCGGAACGACAGGTCTCAGGCCCCCAGGCGGGGAGGCGGGCACCGAGTCACCAGGCACAACCGTGGGCTCCGAGTCAACTGGGATGACCACTGGCACTGGGTCAGACATTGGATCGTCTGGCTGGACAGCGTCATCGGGTCACCAGGCATCAGGTCATTTGGCTTGACAGCGGGCACCGCGTCATCTGGCAAGGCAGTGGGCTCCGAGTCAACAGGCACGACAGTGAGCACACCGGGGTCATCAGGTACCGGATTGTCTGGCTCGACAGCGGGCAATCGGGTCACCAGGTATGACAGCGGGCACTGGGTCACCAGGCATCAGGTCATTTGGCTCGACAGCGGGCCCACCGGATCAGGTACCGGATCATCTGGATCAACAGCGGGCATCGAGTCAACTGGCCTAATAGGATCGTCAGGCTGGATCAGTTCATCATGCTGGGTAGAGGCATCAGGCCGAGTAGAGGCTTCAGGCCGAGTAGAGGCATCAGGCCGAGTAGAGGCTTCAGGCCGAGTAGAGGCTTCAGGCCGAGTAGAGGCTTCAGGCCGAGTAGAGGCACCAGTCGAACCACGGAAGGCAGGCTCACCGTTTGGATACTGGCAGGATGGTATTGGTTGGAAAGAATTTTCGCTTTTTTCTGGTTTTAACTATTGGAGCACTGCAAGTAAACGCAGGTCCTGCAAACGAATGAGCAGCTGGAGGACAGAGAAGAACTGGAGGATGGAACAGGAGAGGGAGCGGTTGCTACAGAGGACTTCTTTACAGGGTTAAAGGCAGGATAGGTGCAGCGAGTGGGAACAGGGGACTGACATGCGGTAGATAGCCAAGTATACTGGGCTGTAACTGGAGGAGCTGGTGGGAATACAGAGTAGAGTTAGAAGCAGGACTGGGTCTTTGTAAGCTGACTGAGGCTGGGTGCAACAAGTCTGTCCATGTCTGCAGTATGGGTTGAACAAAGCTGAGCTTACACAAAGCCTGTCTGGTCAATGACTGCACTGCGTTTATACAATCTCTTAGTGTCTGTGGGAACATGTGGAATAACGCTCCAGAAAGTAACCCACATCATCCTCTAATAACCACACCAGGGACTCTACCTGGTCTGCACTAAATGGTGGCAAAAATTCATCCCTGCATTCGGGGAACCAGATGAAACCAACTCAGCACAAACCTCAATCAAAGGCTGCACCTCAGAGAACTCTGTGCCCCTGATCTACTAGAACATGAGGCGATCCGTATACATTCTAGCAGTTCATCCCGGGGATACTCCTTCAGAGTCTGATAAGCATACTCCTGTCATCAAACACTAGCAGATATAAATATTCAACCTCATCAAGATCCATCCTTCCCATCAACAAGCCAAGATGGCTTCCCTGTGCAGCCACTTCTGGTCAGGATTGGCCTTGGTGTAATGTCAGGGCTCCCAGGTATGACCAGAGGTGTGACCAGACTGACGCAGGGAAACGCAGACTTCAGATATGTGATAAACAATACAATTTATTAACACTAACAGTACAAAAAATACACTGCAGTGCAATACTAAACATAAACACAGTGCAAACAAACCAAAAACCAAACCACCCACAGATAACAGTACATACAAGCAAGCGTCGTCAGCCAGCCGGGTCAATATCAATGGGCAGGTAGGTACAGGGGGAGCAAGCAAGAATGGTCGGGGTCACAGGCCAGGTTCAGCAGGTAGCAACAGCGTAGTTACAGAGGGTCAGACAGAGGGATGGTCAGGGTCACAAGCCAGGATCAGAGCAGGAAAGTCACAAAGAAGGAACAAAACAGGATGCAGGACAGATACAGGGGCCCAGGACAAACACAACACCAAGGCAAGTCTGTGGGTCTGGCCATCCCTTAAATACAACCCAGTATCATCAGTTCCAGGTGTTAGCTGGCTGAAAGGTTGAGTCTCTGATTGCTGGGAGCACCCGCTGCCAGCCCTGGTACTGCAGATCAAAAGGCAGGTGAGTCCCACCATTGCTGGCCAGTCCATTCCTAACAGTCATAGAAGAAGCCAGAACATCATCTACAGAGCTGCAGGCCTCACCTGCCTCCAGTAAAGTCGGCGTTTCACCAATAAGAGACCAGCAAACATGGCCGCCATGGGAGAGCTCCAAGGCCAAAGACATGCTGACCAAAAAGACCACAAAGCCTCGTCTCACATTTGCCAAAAAAAATCTGGATATCCCCAAACTGCTGGACAAACATTCTGTGGACTGAGGAGACAAAAGTTGATGTCTTTGGAAGGTGTGCGTCTTGTTACACCTGGAGTGAAACTAACACAACATTTCATGAAAAGAACATCATCCCAACTGTGAAGCATGGTGGTGGTAGTATGATGGTCTGGATGGTCAGGACCTGGACGACTCGCCATCATTGCTGAAACCATGAATTCTGTGCTCTACCAGAAAATCCTGAAGGAGAATGTCCGGCCATCAGTTCCTGACCTCAAGTGCAGCAGGCTGATGATCACATGATGAACACAGCAGCAAGTCCACCTCTGAGTGGTTGAGAAAAAACACAAAATGAAGGATTTGGATTGGCCGAGTCACAGTCCGGACTTCAATCCGATGGAAATGCTGCGGCAGGACCTTCACCCGGCCCTTCATGCTGGAGAACATCCAATGTGGCTGAATGAGAACAATTCTGCAAAGAAGAGCGCCCGAAATCCCTCCACAGTGACGGGAAAGACTCATCGCCAGTCAGACGCCGGACCGCAGTTGTTGTCGCCATGGGGGGCCCAACCAATAATTAGGTATGGGGGGGGGCGATTACTTCTTCACACCGAGCCAGGCAGGTTTGGGGGGCTTTCTTCCCTTAATAATGAAATGGTCATTGATAACGTGGTCTTGTATCTCCTCGGCTGATCTCGGAGTCCCGGGATGTGTGAGGATCCGAAGCATTTGTGACAAATATGCAAAAAGAGAAAAGAACTCAGGAAGGGGCGAATACTTCCTCACGGCTCTGCAAGTAGGAATGTTCCCTGCGTGTTGTCATGTGGGGATCCTGACGTCATCTGGGGCCGCGGTGCATGACCGCGCAATTGTCAGTGCAAGTAATGCAGCACCATATGCCTGGTCAGGAAAGGGGGAAATCCTCTGGAGGACAGGGGGGGGGGGAATCATCTGGAGGGGGAGGGGGGGAAATCATCTGGAGGGGAGGGGGAAATCCTCCGGAGGGCAATTGGAGGGGGGGGGGGGGATAAGTCATCTGGAGGGGGGGGGGGGGGGGGAATCATCTGGAGGGCGAGGGGAGGGAAGGGAAATCCTCTGGTGGGTGAGGGGGGGGGGGAGAATCCTTTGGAGCAGGGGGGGGGGATAAAATCCTGTGGAGGGCAAGGGGAGGGGGGGAATCCTCTGGAGGGCAAGGGGGGGGAAGGGAAATCCTCTGGAGGGCGAGGGAGGGAAGGGAAATCCTCTGGAGGGGGGGGGGGAGAAAATCCTCTGGAGGGGCTGTGGGGGGGGGTAATCCTCTGGAGCAGGGGGGGGGGGGAAGACAAATCCTCTGGGGGGGGATTCCTCTGGAGGACAAGGGGGGGAAGGGAAATCCTCTGGAGGGTGGGGGGGGGGGGGAATCCTTTGGAGCAGGGGGGGGAAGATAAATCCTGTGGAGGGCAAGGGGAGGGGGGGAATCCTCTGGTGGGTGAGGGGGGGGCGGAGAATCCTCTGGAGGGGCTGGGGGGGGAATCCTCTGGAGCAGGGGGGGGAAGACAAATCCTCTGGGGGGGGGGGGGGGGATTCCTCTGGAGGACAAGGGGCCCCACACCCCCACACACCCACACACACCCCCCCACCCACACACACCCCCCCCCCCCACCCCCCCCCCCCACCACAATTCCACCCCCCACACCACCAATTCAACACATCACACACACACCACACAACCCCACGCACAATTCACACAACCCCCACCCCCACACAACACCACCCCCCATTTGAATAGAAGAAGAAGAAGAAGAGAATTGTGTTCCATATCTGTACTCTGTTCACAAATCACCAACCTACCTGTTCACAAATCACCAACCTACCTGTTCACAAATCACCAACCTACCTGTTCACAAATCACCAACCTACCTGTTCACAAATCACCAACCTACCTGTTCACAAATCACTAACCTGCCTGTTCACAAATCACTAACCTGCCTGTTCACAAATCACTAACCTGCCTGTTCACAAATCACTAACCTGCCTGTTCACAAATCACCAACCTACCTGTTCACAAATCACCAACCTACCTGTTCACAAATCACCAACCTACCTGTTCACAAATCACTAACCTACCTGTTCACAAATCACTAACCTACCTGTTCACAAATCACCAACCTACCTGTTCACAAATCACTAACCTACCTGTTCACAAATCACCAACCTACCTGTTCACAAATCACCAACCTACCTGTTCACAAATCACCAACCTACCTGTTCACAAATCACTAACCTACCTGTTCACAAATCACTAACCTGCCTGTTCACAAATCACTAACCTGCCTGTTCACAAATCACTAACCTGCCTGTTCACAAATCACCAACCTACCTGTTCACAAATCACCAACCTACCTGTTCACAAATCACCAACCTACCTGTTCACAAATCACTAACCTACCTGTTCACAAATCACTAACCTACCTGTTCACAAATCACTAACCTACCTGTTCACAAATCACCGACCTACCTGTTCACAAATCACCGACCTACCTGTTCACAAATCACCGACCCTACCTGTTCACAAATCACTAACCTACCTGTTCACAAATCACCCCGACCTACCTGTTCACAAATCACCGACCTACCTGTTCACAAATCACTAACCTACCTGTTCACAAATCACCAAACCTACCTGTTCACAAATCACCAACCTACCTGTTCACAAATCACCCACCTACCTGTTCACAAATCACTAACCTACCTGTTCACAAATCACCAACCTACCTGTTCACAAATCACCAACCTACCTGTTCACAAATCACTAACCTACCTGTTCACAAATCACCAACCTACCTGTTCACAAATCACCAACCTACCTGTTCACAAATCACCGACCTACCTGTTCACAAATCACCAACCTACCTGTTCACAAATCACCACACCTACCTGTTCACAAATCAACCTACCTCACATCACTAACCTACCTGTTCACAAATCACCAACCTACCTGTTCACAAATCACCGACCTACCTGTTCACAAATCACCAACCTACCTGTTCACAAATCACCGACCTACCTGTTCACAAATCACTAACCTACCTGTTCACAAATCACCAACCTACCTGTTCACAAATCCGACCCACTACCTACCTGTTCACAAATCACTAACCTGCCATGGCCACCCAGCTTCATTCCACCCACACCTCCTGACACCCACCATGCCTGCCTGCTTCAAGGGCAACTACACTGTATCCGAGCACCACACACAACTACACTGTATCCGAGCACCACACACAACTACACTGTATCCGAGCACCAACAACACAAACTACACTGTATCCGAGCACCACACAAAC